CATTCTTTTTATTTCTTAGTATGGAAGGATACATTCAGACATATCTAAATATCATCAACTTTTTAATAGAATAAAGAGATTATTTTACCTACATTTATCTTAGCTCCCTAGGGTCTTAAAGAACAAATGATATTTGCCTCCATATATCAGTGGTTAAGGACCCGCGTGGAGAAGGCTCAGGCAGGCTGTTACTTTGTTTTATCCATCCTGCAGTGAATGACAGTAGTTAATTCTCAAGTAAAACATTTTTGCATAGCTTAGGATCTGATAAGCTTTGCCTTTTGCGTGTAGGTTGCCTGAGTCTCTGTACAGTTTCTATATGATCAACTTTCAGGCCTAAGTTTCATAGAATATTTTCCTGTATTCCTTGCTAGATCCTGTAGACATTTTGGCCTTGCCAAAGGCCTCTTGTAGGACTTTTGGTGTCAGGCACTTTAAAGTGAAGGACTGAGGCCCACTAGTCTGGCTGGAAGCTTGTCCTGCAGTTGGTCTAAGCCACGGGAGGCTGTGCCATGGAAGGCGCCGCTGGCGCCCTGGGGCGGGTGGGAAGCGTCTTGGCTGTGGAGCTGGCTGAGGGATGCGGCCGCTCGGAAAGCCTTCAGCTAGGATCTCAGCAGCTGTTGTCAAGGATTCATGGATTCATTTTAGGTTTGATAAATAGGTAGTAGCAGCATGGGCTTAAGCACCTCCTAACCTGTTTCATTTTGTTTCACTATTTCACTTGCGCTAAGAGAATTCTTTATGGGGGCTCCTCGGTGATCTCGAGTGAGGAACAGCTCTGATGAAAAGTCATCTTTTTTTTTCTCCCCCTCTTCTCCGAGCTTGAGTCACTTACTGAATGCCACAAATAATGTTACCAGCAAACATGAGTAGTAGTGTTAGACAAGGAATGTTTCTAAACCAGCAAACCAGTCAAAATCCTTCCTTCCTAAGTTGGAAAGTCCCAAGTGGATACTGCCCTCGGGCTGCTTTGACTCTTCAGCCTCCTTTTTGACCCTCTGACTTCTTAGAGGTGCCTACTCAACAAATTTTCACTTGCAAACGTATTTTGTATGTGTGTTCTTATATTTATATAATTCCAATTTGGACACTAACCGTTAATAACTAAGCCTCATGAGCGGTGGAAGCAGATTAGGGACAAGCATTTCTTGGCCCAGATATGGTAGCTATAAATTTCTGAAGTCAATTTTTAAGTCAGAATGGGAAGCGTGACAACTTGTTGCACATGATTGTGATTCTGTGATGACAGGTACGTTTTTCTGAGCCCACTTGCATACAAAAAATGTAACTGTTGGTGTGATTTGGTGTATTTCTGCCAGAAGCGGTGTCTACATGTTGGAAGATGTAGAAGACGCATGGCCTTAGCTTGGCCTGATGTAGCTACAAAATAAAGCAAATATTGAGGATTTGTTTCCTCCTCTGCTTTGCAGAAGCTGTTATCCATTTATGTGGGTTAATGACAAGGTTTGTGAAAGGGATCAGGTTTTTGGCAATTGATCATTTTTTCCCCGTTTGTTTGAAAAAAGAACGAAGAGTTTTCAACTTATTAATTTCTCCCTAAATGGTATATGGTTGTATATTTTGTGTAGTGTGTAGCTTTCAGAAGTGCTTTATACTTTTTTTAAAATAAAATTGAAATATTGCTCCACATTAAATGGTGCATGTAATTAGCGGAGAGAACAATACAAACTTGACTTGTTTTTTTAATTACGTAAGCTTGTGAAATGGAAAGAGGTATTTGAGCCATCTAGCGGCTGGTATGAAACATTTTAACATTTTCAATAGATGGTAGAAAATGGAAATGACAACATGAAAATAGCGTTTTAGTTGGTAGTCTTTCCATTAGCATATCTTTAGAATAAAAAAATATATACTGCATTTCATATTTGAGATGATGTTTCAAAAATTGATGTTTTCACTTTACTGTATGTTTTAATGAAGAAAGAGATCTTTATCTGGAAACATAAAACTTGTTTTTAGAGCTCAGAACTATGAGTTGCTAGCATGAGAAAGTCTTCAGAAATTGTGTGGATTGTGAGGAAAATAATAATGCAATTCTGTTTACCACATGAAAAAATGCTTGGGGTTGGGAGTGGGCTTGTATTTTACATCAGAAACTTTTTTAAGCAGGATCTTGAACTATAAGTATTTAATCCAGATCTTGTTTTAAACAAGTCATATGTAGAGGAGAACGTGTGGTGCATATTGTTTGTGAAATATTTGAGTCCATCTTATGATCTGAAGACAAATCGGAAATCCAGTTTTTGGGCAAAAGAGAGAGCAGCCATAATTAATTTGTATTTTACTGAGGGAAGGAGGGACAACCAGAAAGCTTTGTGTAAATACCATCTTATCTTTACATGTTATAGTACAGCCTTCATGATCCTGCTTAGTCCCGATGTGCGTTAAGCTGTTGTGTTCTTTCATATTGGCCATTTCACATTGGCTCTGTGTTGAACTTGATGGTATTTCACGATACAAGCAGAAAAGTTAGTTGCTGAAGTAATGAACTTTGTCTGATTCAGTGTGGAGAGAAAAAAAAATGCATAAATTGAACTAGAACCACTGTAATGTCCTCTAGGGCCCATGAAAGCTTCATCCAGCTTCAAACCTGGATTAAAGGATATTTTTAAATCTTCAATACAAATATAATGAACAGTTAACTGGCAGGTACTAAAGGTGTTTTGTACAGTTTGAGAGATAATATTGCCTAACAGGTGGATTTGAGCAATACTGACATTTCAGAATTTGCGTCTGGTGTATTTGGGGTAAAGTATTACAGAGTCTTAAATCATGCCCTTTTTATTGTTGGGAAAGTAGCAGCTTATCAGATATTAAACCTCAGCCACAAAGGCACAGTAAAGAATCGTATATGAATATATATATATATATGGGCATATATGAGAATCATATATGCTAAAAAAAGGAAAAAAAAATCAGAAGTTGAGTCACAGTACAGAAGAGCAACAGCAGTATTTGATTTGTATTTTCCTGGAGGGCGAGGAGGCGCAACCAGAAAGCTTCTTGCAAATATGATATATTAATTATGTGTCTACAAATCGCCTGCAGTTTGGTCCTGTCATGTGCCTCAAATGTTGAGTACCGTTAACCCTTAAGATTCAAGCATCAACTGGATTAATTTTCCAGTTTTCAAATTAATTTTTTAAAATATGTAACTGATTGAGCTCTGGATGGTAATAGCTATCAGAAGAGGAAAAGGCAATTAAAATTTTTAAAGACTGAAGAGGTTTTAGATGCTTGTCTTTATTTACTTGTTTATTGATTTAACTGTGATCTAGCCTTGATTCCAGTCCTTGCGTTTCTGAAGTAACTCTAGACACAGTTCTGGTTTGCCTTGTTCTGCAGCTGAGCAGGACCTGAGCAGAAGAAAGGTTGTTTCGTGTATGCAGTATTTTTGCAGCCTTCTGCGTCCTATTTCCTATTGTCTTCCTTCTTTCTCTATTTAAGTGACTCTCAAAACAAGGAATTCTGTATATCCACTTCTGTGGACTTGCCTTTACTGGGTTGCCAGAGCATCTTGCAAAACAGGCAATACCTGGAATACCGATATAAGGATCTTTTCTCCTTATGACGTCCATGCTGTATTTTCGTTAAGTTAAAACAGAAACGTGGTTTTATGGTAATATTCGAGTATCATTTTTTTATTGTTTGTGTGCTTGCCCATCCACTCCCCTCTTCAGCGTCCTGTAGTGCCTCAGTCACCACAGTGTCTGGTCAGAGACCAGCGTTTTCTTGGAACCTGCCCAGTGCTCAAGCCATGATGCAGTTCTGCTCGTGAAGGAATCTTTGGCCTTTCTTCTGTTTTTAATTTGTATTTTAAAGATGCAAATGAGGTATAATGACATGGTAATTTGAGGTCCTGATTTTGATGAATGCTGCTCTTTGAATTATATCGTGGTTAGCAGGCATCTCCTGGGAGAAATGTGGTTACATCTTCTTCGTAACCGTGATCGCTTTTGTGCGATTCCACTGAAACGCGAGTTGTGGAAGAGAGGAGCGTCAGGCAAAGGCAGAGCAGCTTGACCAGGACTCTGGGGCAGTGCAAGTGCCATCTCTTGCTGACGTGTCAGGGCTTTCTGTTCCTCAGCACGTGTTTCTGGCTGTTCAGAACCGCAGCTGTTCATAAGAAAAGCCTTAAATGTGTCCTAGGCTGCATGCACACATTTTCTCCTGTAAATATTAGAATACCTCTGCTAAAGAGAAAAACAGTTATACTGTGGCATAGCATTTTTCAAAAGAAAAGGCAATTCGTATTTTTTAAAGTAATTTAGGAAGTATGTAACAATTATTTGTAATTTGGCTAATTAAACATTCATTAAGCCCCTTCAGTAATGAAAGCAAGAACACTTTATTGGGGGGGGGTGGAGAGGAATAGGTTTCAGGGATCAGAATGCTGTATTTTTTATTTTACTATAAAATATTTTATTATACAAATAAATAGTATAAATTTCATCAAGGAAGAAAGAATATATTATTGTCTTAGGTTGGAAGCCAGTGGTCTGTATTTTTGGTATTCAGAAAATGTAACACTTCCTTAAGCATGTTTTCAACAGTCATATGATGAATATTCTACTTTAAACACAGAAATGAGTGTGTTTATTTTTGTGGAAATATAAATTATTGCACCTATTATGTGGTCATATGTTATAAAATATTTTTTCCTATTATTAAATTACTGAAGACCTCTGTTCTGACATTTGCTTTCCTGTTGTTGTACAAATAGAATAAACCACCTGTTGCTATTTCTTCTTCAAAGTTATACTTCTGACTTTAAATTCAAATTAAGATTTAAATGTTGCTGAGATTTTTTTTTAAACCTCTTCCTCTCTATATCCTCATTCTTGGTCTTCCTCCTTTTAAAGAAGGTATTTGAAAATCATGGAAATAGAATGTAAATGGATGAATTAAATGTTTGAAACTTAACGCGTAGCATATGGTTGGCTTATCTGAGCTTTAAACATTGTTTCTTTTCTTTACAGAATGCTGCCTTTTTATATGGCCTTGGTTTGGTCTACTTCCATTACAATGCCTTTCAATGGTAAGTTGGAACAAACTCTGACAGTATCCAGGCATCAGGCCGTGTTTGACTGAGAGGTGAATATTGCAGGGTTAGTTCCCTGTTAGTGTAGGATAGCTCGTCGTTGTTGTTGTCCAGATATTATGTTCAAAGGCAGGTTGTGCTGGGTGTATTATCTGAGTTACTGTAACATACTTAAGGCAACCACAGCAGCTGCTTGAACGGGAAAGTAATTACAGAAGACTTTTAGCTTCCATAAAGCCGTTCAGGAGGGGGAGCGGAACAGTGGGACCACATGGGCTTCTGTCAGCTGCTGCTAGCCATAGGCTGGAGCCTGTGCTGTGAAATAGCTTATTTTCCCAGAGAAAAATAAGTTGTACAAAGGGTCGGTCTTCATTTGTTTAGCTTGTTGCTCAGTAAGCTTTACATACCTTTGTAATGTGGACGTTCTGGATGTGAGAAGCAGTGTGCTCTGACTTGAATCAGAGCATTTAAAACTGACTCGGGGTCACAGCTGTAAAATTCTGTCATGCTCTTGGCGAGGGGGAGGAGGGAGGGTTTTTTCAATACCTGCAACAGGAGGAGAACAGGAATAGGCTGAGTCTTTGGCAGTCCACTGGCAGATACTCAGATGTTCATTGCATAGTAATAAGAAAACTATAATTTATTTTACAAAGGCATATTTTTACAGGTAGCATTGCGAAAAAGTCGGAACGGTGTAAATTTTACCTCAGTGCTTTCTTATACAAAGCTGATCACTAACTTCTTTTGCATTCTTTTGTGCTGATTGCAGCTTCGAGTGGTATCTCTAACAGTTAGTAGGAAAGTGGTTAATGGAATAAATGTGACTGTAATGCTCCACTATTTGCTAAAAAGTTTTTCATCATCATTGAACTGAGCATGCCGGAAGTTAAGGAAATCGTGTGTGGCTAGTGGCAATATGGAGCAATAAAATCAAATATTTTTTTCCTCCTGAATTGTTAATTCAATAGAAGTTTCTATATATCTGTAACATAAAAGATTAGTATGTCCCTTGAGGTTGTATAAATGAGCTTTTATTTTTCACATTAACTAAGTTGGTTAAAATAGGCAATTAGAACCTTGACTTTTTTGATATTATAGTTGTCACTATTATTGGTAACAGTAGAGTGAATGCTGTATATTCTATGCAGAAATGTACAGAAAGAATTTACAGAAGCCATTCTTTGGGGGGTTGGTGTGGAATCACAGATGGGTTGGGGTTGGAAGGGCTCTCTAGAGATCCAGCAGGGACACCCAGAGCACGGGGCACAGCGCGACATCCAGGTGGATTTGGAAGATCTCCAGAGAAGGAGACTCCACAACATCCCTGGGCAGCCTGTGCCCGGGCTCTGTCGGCCAGTATTTTTTTTTTCCCTCAAATTCAGGTATTAACTTATTAAATCCTAGCTGACCCATATAATATTTTGTTTTCCGGTTTGATTATTCACATATGAACAAAGAGTGCTAGGCATACATGCAAGTGTTGCAATAATGTAATCAGACTAAAGCTATTATGTGCAATTATTGTAGTAAGATGCAAAATAGAGAACTAGCTCTAAAAGTTGTATGGAGTGTAGTGAGCAAGGTTGTATAGATCTTCGATTTCAAAGCTCTGTATTCTTTACACCATTTATCATCAAACAATGAGGAGGGGATGCCTGAGTTTCCATATCGTTCCATTTGTCAAGTATGGTCAAACATGGGCAGGGATGGTTAAGACAGTCAAACAAGTTGAATATTGACAGTTCCTTCATATCTTCCTGAAAGTATTTTTATATTGTATTGATTTTAATATTACTAACTGTAATAACAAAAGGTGCTTGTATTATTGTCCTTTACAGATCTGAATTTAGTGAAAAAAAAAATAATGTGCAGAAGACATACAGCACCACGAATGTTGTCGCTCTGAGATAGACAGTACTTGTTAGTTTGATTGGGATGGTTTATCCCAGCAATAATATACTGTGCTACAGATTGAGACCAAATAATCAATTAGAGGTTAAAACCAAATTTGGCACTAGAACTATTATGCCTATTCAGAGAACGTTTAAGTCCAAGAGAGAGCCCCCTGAATCGGTCTGTCCAAATATCTTCTCCCCACAGGAGCACCTTAGTTAGAGCACCTTAGTTAGAGCACCTAGCACCTGCTAGATTCAGAAATTGCATCAAGAATTTCAGTAGTTCAACAAAGGTTTCCCTTCATTTCTGTGTAACAGCTAAAATCCGTCTATTTGCTGGGATGCCGGATTCCCTCATGTACTTGGACGGGAGTTCTGCACCCGAGTGCTCTGCTGTCTGCTCATGGTGGTGAGTCCCACCAAGATAGAAGGGCTCTCCAAGCTCCCCAGCTGGGTCCTTGGAGCGGCTCCGACACCCGCTCAGGATTCCAGTGCTCCAAGGCCAGTCTGCTGGGTGTTCAGTGCTCACTACTGTCACAAATGGCTGGGCACTGTGCCCAAGAGGCTCAGCCCTCCTGAAAAAGACTTTAGAGGATGCTGAGCTTAAGGTTTCACTTACCCATCGTTTAGCGTGACTCCATCTGCAGGACGCAGTCTTGAAAAAATCCAAAGGCTCAAATGAGGCTGATGCAGATCCCATCGTGGCTGAGAGTGGAGCTTGTCTGAGTGAGAAATCTACCACCTCGGACGGGTCCCTCTGCAGCTCCGTACCAAATCCCAGGCCCTGGTACCATGCACTTCGTGTCAGGCAATGCTTAACTCAGTAGCAGAGGCACTATTTCTGCTTCTGGCCTTTTTAAGTGGTCTCACAGCTGGCCCTGCTCTTTGCAGTGCTGAGTCCTGGCCCTTGTGCAAGCCAGGGGGCACCTGCGAGATGTGCAGAGCTCGCGGCCCTCTCCGAGGTGGCCTCATGCCCGTCACACTGGCCGCTTGCCTGAGCTGGAGGACTCTGCTCCCTCTCCTGCTTCACTCCAGCTTTTCTGGCCTTCGTTTTTTGGGTCTCCCCTCACCCTGAAAAGGAGATTCTGCTGTTCTCGCGGCTAGGCTGAAACTGTCGAGTGGGTGTTGGAAGTAACTGTTAAAGCGCCTAGGTCTACAGTGCCACATAAGCCTTTTTCAGCAGTCTCATGGGCCAGCCTTCAGTGTGGGATGACTTGTTCATTTACCCAAAATTGTTTTATGGTGGCTGCTGCTTGTCTGTGAGTCTAGGAGAGTTTTGTGCTTTTGAGGGGTGTTTTTTCCTTTTCTTTGCTTCTTTTCACACTCACTCTCTCTCTCTCTCTCTATATATATATATATATATATTTGTATTTGTTTTTTAGAGGTAATATGTTATTAAAATACTGATTTGTCCTGTGATTTTTGGCAGTGTGATCTCTGAAATATAACTCAGCTAGGAGATATATTTGTCCATGTTCTCTCAGCTCTGCATCCTTAGGCTCACCTTAGGTTTCTTATTTTACTTTTCATGTTAAGGGGGATTTTTATTTTTGTATTAACTGGATGAACTTTGAGAGAGAAGCTTGAGAGGGGATCTTATTAACATGTAGAAGTAGCTGAGGGGAAAATGTAGGAAAGAAGGGACCAAGCTCTTCTCAGTGGTGGCCAGTGACAGGACAAGGGGCAATGGGTACAAGTTGAAACACAGGCAGTTCTATCTCCCTGTGAGAAGGAACTTCTTCCCTGTGAGAGTGCCAGAGCCCTGGCACAGGCTGCCCAGGGAGGCTGTGGAGTCTCCTTCTCTGGAGATCTTCCCAGCCCACCTGGATGCCGCCCTGTGCCCCGTGCTCTGGGTGTCCCTGCTGGAGCAGGGGGTTGGACTGGATGAGCTCTAGAGGTCCCTTCCAGCTCCAACCATTCTGTGATTCTGTGGACCAGATCCTTCGGATGCTTTCTGAAGCTGCTGTATGAGCTGGCAGATTTAGGGAAGGAAGCATTTCCACCATTTCCACGCTAAGACCACCCCGGTGGGTAGGGGATGCGCAGGAAGGCAAACCTTGTAGCTGAGACCTCCTTTGGTCTGTGGGGACCCTCCACCCTGTGTCCAAGAGCAGCTGCTGGCTCTTTTCATCACAGCTGTGCCTGCCCTGCAGGCCCCGGCTCTGCGGGGCTCCTGCTGTGGCCCCGCAGATGAGGTCTGCGTGATGAAGGGCCCTGGGATTTGCCCAGTCGTGTTGCTTGGCCATTGGGATTGGTAGTTTGGAAACACCTGCTATGGGGCAACCCAGGAGGGGTGTCATCTGCGAGAAGGAAGAGAGCGGCCTTAGCAGTAACCTGGCCCATTTCCACTCGCTTTCACTGCCCTTTCAGGGGGCCTGGTGTTATAATCGCTAGGGAAGGCAGTTTAAACGTGTGCTCTATGGGTGCGGCTTAGCCAAGAAATCTCAAGTTTTGATGTGCCTGGATCTATCTATATATTGTATATGTATTCAAAATGAGAATGTATGTGTGGATATATTGTATATGTATTTAAAATTAGGGTGTATGTATGGACTGTGCATAGGGTAATTAAGCATTAGCTAAGGCATAATTAACTTTGTCCTTGGAGTCTTCACTTTCTGGAATTATACATTAAGCACATTGCTTGAATTGATGAAAAATGCACAATACCTGCTAATGCTGGAAAAATACTTTAGGTAACATCTTGAGATTTTGCCGCTGAAAATGTTTTGGCTTTCAGTTGTTAGGGTGCCGTGGCTAGAGGAGTTGTATGTAAAGACTGAAAGTATTTCGTAAAATTGCAGGGTTGTGGCTGCTATTGCTATACATTTTTTAAGTAATCAAACGATGATGATGAGTTTCAGATATAAATTTGTCCAACATGTAATCATGTCATTTGGGTTAGCTATATTTGGAACAGATTATCATAAAATTTAAAGAGGATGAAGAATTAAAAAAAAAAAAAAAAAAGAAAAGGAAAATTTAACTCCAACTGTCTCAAGTTTCCTGATACATTAAAGAAATATTACGTTCTTTTTTTGTTGTTGTTGTTAATTGGCTTGCTCTGATTTTAATGCATCTTGTTTAATGTTGTTAGCTTTTGAATAAAGTGATGCTATTTTATTATATTCTGTTATTCTGTTCAAAGATGATTTTATTCACAATTTATCTAGGCAAGGTTTTCAAATAGGCAAAGCCTGATGAGTTTGTTAAATATATAAGATAATCATCTATTAATTATTATCCATCTCCTTTTTTCACCTTCATAGTGGTAGCCATTATTGTACAGATGGATGGATGGAAAAAGAGTTGCAATATCAATATTGGAAATCGTGATTTGGAGTGGTAGATTAATGTAATTTTTCTTTTCCCAAATTACTGTACCTTGTAAAGTTGTGCCTTTTAGAAGGCAAGCTCCTTAGAAGGTAAAGCTCTCCTTTACCTCTTCTGTAGTGTCTGCTTTCTAGTCAAGCTTACACCTGCCTTCTAGTGTTTGATAGCTTGTCCTGCCTGGTAGTGGAAACCCTCCCATTTTGGGGGAAAACCCCCAAAAGATGTTACTATTCAGATTACCTATAAAAAGCTGCTGATTCTATCACTTTGCGCTACTCATAAAATATTCTTCCTTTAATTTGCTCATTGTTATGAGCCTTAATTATAACTTCAAATTTATGTTGACTTTTGGGATTTCTGTTACAGCATCCAAAGATACAGAGCTTCAGATGCAAGCCGGGCCCTCATCCAGGAGCTTTCTGCTGTTTGGATGCTCGTGGCTTCGTTTTTACATATAATCCTATCAAGTATCAGGCACGGGAAGATTTCACAGTGGAGATAGTTTCACCAGGGCTTTACAGCTAAATCAGTGCTCCCTGCCTATGCTCCTTTGAATTCTTCATCATTTGTGGATGTGATGTTTGTAAAAGCCTGTCTGCCTTTGCTCCCAACCCTGCGAGGTTATGAGTGATCACGTGTAGCTGAAGTTTACGGCTAGAAGTTGTTATGTGGCTGACAGCACAGTAGTGCAAAGTAAGCTCTAAAAGAGTACAAAGACGTTTGCTTGTGGTTTTGTTGACGTACTGGCATTATTTTCCAAACATCAGCAAAGCAGGTTGAAAAGGATGCCATTATTTTTATTGGAGATTTTGTCTAGGAGAATTATGTCTTGTCCCATCCATTTTCTTCCTTCTTTGGCATTTTGAGCTTTTCTTCATTGGAACTTAGCTTAGGTTATAATACTATCTCAAAGGCTTATGATGACTAGTAATGTTAAATATGGTTTTATGATAGACAAGGGTAAATGGTTTTGTCATGTCATCTGTATACAACTAAACCCTAATATAGTATCTTAGAACAAGGTACAAGTAATGGAATATTAAATTCCAGTGGCTAATATACTGAGGAACATTTAGAGGTAAAACCCGAATTAAAACAAAAAAATGCAATTACACAAAAATAATAATCAATAGTATAGGAACACGACTTAGAATGGCAATACAGTGTACAGATATTCTCAAGGCAGAATTCAAAGGTCAGGTCAGTCTTTGTCCTTTTGATTTAAACAGCAATGGTGTAAATGAAGCTGAGCATCCTGGTGCAAAAAGTGGAGTGCAGTTTAAAATTTTAGTAGAGGTCTTGAGGCATGAAATTTATCACCCCTCAGGCAATTCTAGGGAAATTTAAAGTCCTGGTTTAAAAGAAAACAGAAAAAAAAAAACCCAAAATTACTTAGCCAGTGCTTAGGTAAGATTAACTAAGTAATAATAAAGCTGCCTATTAATTCTTCCTTGTGTAAGCAGACAAGTAGGATACTGACCGGGAAGGCCTGTGCTTGAAAGCCTTAGATCTGCAATGAAAATTTGATGTCATCTTAAGCCTGTCTGTTAAGTTGGATTTAAACAAGTTAGACAATGCTTTAGACATGTAAACAGTTTTGTTGCATTGTGTAGAGAACGTTATGTCACTGATATATTTTGACGCCAAAATGAGACGGGATAGTGTAAATATTTTAGATTGGAAGTGTGTTCAGTGAGGGATTTAATAATGACCCACTTGTGCGTTTTGTGAATAAGAAAGGCAAGGAAGAATATTTCCTGAATTTTCCAGTGCGTCTCAGTTAGCTCCAGCTCAGCTCGAGCGTGGCAGTGAGGTTCGTTTGCCCGAGCAGTGTGTGCATCGAGGCGCTGCCTGTGTCGCACCATAGGGGTGCAGTTCCCCCCATATCCCGGCTGTCAGTGACAGCTCCGGGTGGATCTCTGGCATTGCCTCGGACGTGACAAATGGCACTTGCACCTCTGCTTTAGTCACTTGAATCTCACCCTGTGGAGTGACTGACTTCTGATTTCTATCATCATATGAGCAATACTGGGCTTGAGAATCTTTCCAACCAGTCGTTCGGTTTCAGGACAGCTAACACAATGAGTATTTTTTTCTCCTGCTTATTTCCTCTATGAATCTAAATCTAGAGTGGATTTAAAGATAAGTAAATATAATCAGATCATTCTTGAGCTTTCTTGGCAATATGAAAAGCAAGCTAGAGCGAGAGGAGGAGTGGGCTTTCATGTTCCTGAAGGCAATTAGGTGACCAGAAAGATAAGGACTAATAAATAGTATTTGAGTCCCCAGACAATGGTAGAGGAATGAAGTTGAAAGTGGAGATTGATGAGTTGAGAGTGGGTACAGTGGGAAGAGACGAGTGTTGTCTTTGCTCCTAGGCCTGCACTTCTGTCCCAGCTTTCAGGTGGCTTTGATTCCTCTGGATTTGGAGGCAGTTGGTTGTGACATGAGTGATCATCGCATGCAGTTTCATTGTGAAGTTTTACCAATTTTGTTGCTGATACTCTGAAATAATTGATATAGTACTGTATTACAGACAGTAAATCATTTTGCTACGTGGATGGAAATGGTGAGGCTTTCAAATATGTTAGGATATGTAGAATACAAAGTATACTGAACTCTCAAAGACTCAAAGTGATGAAGCAAAACCACTGCATTTAAGTGGTTATATCTATATGTTCTTCTATTTAAAATAAAAAGGGGGGGATTCAACTTATGCAAGCCATAAATAATACTAGTTATAAAGTAAAGCTTTGTTAAAATTACTTTTTCATATTTTTGTTTTTCAGGGCAATTAAAGCATTTCAGGAGGCGCTTTATGTTGATCCCAGCTTTTGTCGAGCCAAGGAAATTCATTTGCGACTTGGGCTTATGTTCAAAGTAAACACAGACTATGAGTCTAGTTTAAAGGTAAGTTAAAGAAATTTTAAATTCAGTTTAACGTTTATTCTAAGTTGTGTTGCATTTAAAACTGCAAGGACTGTGCAAGTGTATACAAGTCAAATATTACTTGCTTTGGAAATAAAGAGAGCTTCAAAATGAAGAGTCTTAGCAAAGCAACAGAATAAGAACACGGTTGGTGGTGTGTTGGGTGAGCACCTTCAGAAATTCAGAAAAGCCTAATGAAATTATAGGTGAGCACTGATACTCTAGCAGTTTAAGCAAAAGGAGATGAAGAATAGCTCTTTATGGTACTGTTTTAAGGAGAGACTATAAGGAAGTTGAGGAAGTACAGAAGGTCCATATGAAAAAAGAAGACAGATATTATAACTTGGATTTCCAGATGCTCTTTCTCCTTTTTTTTCTAAATGCACTCTTATCCACTGCTAGTTCATAACAATCACTAAAAATAGAAAGCTTTTATGAAAAATGGTGTGTTCCTCATCGAATTTCTTTATTGTTTCTTCTTTTCTAGCAATTATTTTATATATTTATTGATGTCCTGATTTGAAAGTCACCTTGTTAAGATAGCAGTTTCTGTCTAACCAGTTTTGGTTTATGGTTTTATTATGGTTTATGAAAACGGTTTTATTAATATGGTTTATGTCCATACATATTTTAACATTTCTGCTCTCCCTCCACCTATTTCCATTTCCTAGTCTATCCCCATTTTCTCTCATTCTTTCTAGCTCATTTTGTATCATGGGCTCTAAATTTAAATATGTGTGTCTTGGGGAAAAAAGAGAAAAAAAAAAAGAGGCTTTTTCTGAAAGAGTTACACGTGCATTCAGCAGGATAGGAATTTTTCAAGTATGATTATTTTTAATGCATTTCTGCATATTGGGCTTTTCTAAAACTGTTCAAAAAATATGAAATGAGTTTTCAGGAATCTTGGAGACTGGCAGCTTATTCATGGAAAATTGCTTTACTGGAGCTTGTATCTGTGAAGCAGTCAGAATTACACTGCCAAAGATTTGAGAGAGTATTCATTTCAATTCCTTTCAGTCTTTGCAATATAGGCTCGTATTTCTCTTATCAGAGTCCAGAGTGTATGCTTTTTTCCTCCAGAGGCAGATGAATTTGGAAAGTTTGATAAGAAAGGATAACAGTATGTAGGAATTAGGAAGGATTTGGTGCAATGAATAGCAAAAGAGAGGGAAGATTGTAGACCCAGATCATCTTACTGAGACAGGGATTATATGCAAGTTCAGATGGTCTTGTTTCCTTATATGTTTGGTATAGATGTTGTGTTGACCTCTATGATACATTGGAAATAAAGAGAGTACTGAGGAAATCTTTATTTATTTATTTATTTGAATGAATTTTAAGGACAAAATAGAAAAATGTATTTGCAAGGAAGTATGTAAGTTTTGTAATCCGGTGGTGGAAAGAACTGCATTTCATTTTTTAAGAGAAGATATTAATTGACAGATAAACTCTTAATGCTGTACCATAGAATATGCTATTTTGTGACCGAGTCAAGTCTTAAGATAGATGTAATTAGAATTCATTCTAAGTCATTTACTCTGATCTTCACAGCTCTGCAAAATAGGATGATCACAAGGATTTCTAGTGTACCCAATTTGTGTTTTTAATACACAAGTAGAACTGCAAAAAAAAAAAAAAAAAAAAAAAAAAAAAAAAAAAAAAAAAAAAAAAAAAAAAAAAAAAAAAAAAAAAATATTTTTTTTTTTTTTTTTTTTTTTTTTTTTTTTTTTTTTTTTTTTTGGTAATAGAAAAGTATCATGCTTTCAAATCCAAGGTGATTTAGTAATTTAGGAAAGCAAATGCCAACAGCAAAAACAACTGATCCTGGAGACACAGCAAAGATCCTCAAAGGGATTATGAAATAACCCATGGAGGTCGGTTTGCATTAAGGGTAGTTTCACATTGTTCTTAAGTGAATGCAACTTCAGGCGGTTGCTGACGGGAAGTCTCGTTTTCCGCCTCCAGTTCGGATTGCAATGTTCTGCACCCTGCTTTGCACCAAGATTAGTGATCGTCCATTTGCAGACTGAGGGGGATCAGAAGCATGACTCAGCTCAAGTTGGGATTGCATGACTGCTAGATTCAATGCAAAATAAATGGCAGAGGATTGTGAATGGAAAAGAGGACAGCATGTCCCCTTGGGATGCAAAAAATTAAAACTGCACTCTGGAATTTGAAATTGAGGTGCCTGAATTACAGTTTCCTTTTAGTTTCCTTTGCTATGAAGATAGCAGTCTTTAAACAGAGAATAGGTTACAAGCAGGGAGCAGAAAGAAAAAAAAAAAAACAAAAACTAGTAGGGTGATCCAGTGGGTCTTGAGTAGTTTCAGCTGTTTGCATTGGAGATTTAAGGCAGAGGTTGGATGCTGATTTACTTGATTCTAAATGGAAACAAATCAGCAGGTACCATGTATCAATTGAGAGGCAGAAATATAAGCAGAATAAAAATCCAATCTGACTCTTCTCTGAGTAGGTCTAAAAAACTTCAGCCAAGACTCTGTGCCATTGTAAGAGGCCAGTCAGAAAATAAATCTTGAGTGAAGAAAAGAAAATGGAGTGGTTGTGATTATGTACGAGAATGAGCAGTCAAAATGAGAGAGAGATCGTGAAAGAGTGGGAAAGTCTGTTTCCTCAAAATGCCGTAACCAAGTGGTAAGGGAGGTTGCATTGACCTGACATGGTAACTCATGGACCGGTTTGAGCTTCCCGTTTGGCACTGAGGCAGAAAATGGACATAATTTTCCATCTGACTCTATTTTGTCTGTTTTGTGTTTCACAAACTGCATTCATGTTGCTTGAATGTACTTTGAAAAAATGTACTATTTGTGATAGTATTTAAACATTCCTGTAATGTCTTTGATTGCTAAGAATAAACCATCGCCAACACACGAGTCAATAAGAATCGTCAGGCAAATGGAGTAGCATGGGAGTCTGAAGGTCACATCTTCCATGTTTTTTCACAATTTTAGACCATTAACATAAATCATCTATATTTTATGTAAGCAATTTAAGCAGTAAATTCATTTGTGCTATTTTAAAGATGTTGATGATCATGATAATTACTAGAGTGCTGTTGAACCAGTGTAAAATAATCTCATAACGTTTTTTTTCAAAAATCAATTACTGCTTTTGAATATCTTTAACGTTACTGCAGCTAAGATTAGCAAATTGCTGTTACAGCTCATATCTATTCCAGTAGACTCTTGTCATTTTCTTATACCCATGGACTTTGACAAAACTCTAGTGCGTAGATGTGGAAGCAGAGGAGCGGCCTCTCTGGTGGAAAAGGAAATTCTCCCTCCGTGACCTGGCAGTTAGGACAGTATTACCTTCCAAAGGGATACATGAGAAGCAAACGTTCACCATTCATCAAAAATGTGCAGTTAATTCCAAAGACAAATAGCGATGTCTTCGGGAGGAAAAAAACCTTTTTATTACAAATTACTGTAGCAGAAAAATACTGTTCAGAATTATCTCACAGTCCTAACCATTTCCCACTTTATTACATGTCTCAGCTGCCCCCTTCCTAGCTGCTGGTAAAATGGATAACCCTGGGAATACCATGTTTGATTGTATTAGCTGTGGTGGTGTTGGTGCCATAATAATATGGAAGAACAATAAAGCAAGATCTGTAAGAGTTAAATGCTTCTCACTAGTCTGACTAGTGTAGCTAGAAAAATTGTCCAGACTTTGAGCACAAACTGCATTTTCTTCTAATATATGTTGCTTCCTTATCGTAGCCATTTTCTTATTTATTCAGTGAATTTATTTCAATGTATGTGACTATTTTTATGCATGTGTCTCTCAGTTCCTGGTTAAAGTATTTGTGATTCTTAACAGCCCCTGTGCCCCTTGTGGCACTGGCGCGCTGAGCACAGGGCTCGCAGAAGCTGGGGGTGTTGCACAGCAGTAGGGCAGGCCTAAAGCGAGGCTGAAGAGCCAAGGACCTTGCACCTTCAGTGCTATTTAGTTGAAAAGTGGGGTTACGCTGGAAGGCACCTCAATTGGAAAGCAGTCTGGTACTGCTTGTGTTCTGCTGTGCTGAAGTCACCCTGAAAAGTTCCTGAGTGTGAGTCTTTGCACTGTGATATCTTCCTTTGGTTGCTGAGAAATTACTTGTGGGGGGGAAAAAAAAATCATAGTTTTCATTTTTTTTAGAATGATTGATAGCACTCAGGAATAGTATGTGATAAAATGGTTTATTTTATTTTTTTTTTTAATAGGTGGCCAGTAGCTGGCCACCAACTGGACATAAAAAGCTTATTTTGTGGCAAATCTGACTGTGTTACTGTATTGTGATTTGGGAATCTTGTTTGTTTGCTTTTAGAATACCTGAACAGTGACAGAACTCTTAGGAACAAAATATAAACTAAATTTCTAAATATAACATAACTAAATTTCTTCCTGTTTTCAAGTACTTGCTTATGGATAGAAACATTCATAGTGTCTTTCAGAAGTTCTGCCTCCCTATTTATGTATAAAGTAGCCATTTTAGTAGTTTGCTTTAGGCCTATGCTTTGCTCTTTGCTATGAATTTGGATATAATTCTTTGTTTTTATACATAAACAATGACAAAACCCTCGAAAGAACTGGAAGTTGTATTCAGATATTTGTCTATCTATAGAAACATGGGTACTGTCTTTCATTTTCAGAAGTCCTTTTCTGAAGGTTTCAATTTGTGTCTCCTCATTTATATATAAGTAGCTATCTTAGCAGTTTGCTTTAGGCCTGTGCTTTGAATGTTGTTCATAAATTATGAATTTGATATATTTCTATTTTTTAAGTTATTTTCCTGAAGATTCTTGTTTAGTGATTACATTAAGACCTGCTCCTTACTTATCACTTCTTTTGGTCTTGGGAAAATATGCTTAAGCTAAAGAATTAGAAAACATTAAAAAACATCACTAATACAATACCTCCAACTACCTATTTATAATCAGATGCTTTTCCATCACTTATTCAATTGCTGGTTATATATATATATGTATATATTTATGAAGATATTTGTAGCTGCCTTGAGGCAATGTAAGTGAATGTGTAGCTGCTATAAACATATTCACTACTGAGAAAAAGAATATAAAGAGTTATCAATTAAAACTACATTCATGAATACAAATGTTATGGTGCTTCAAATTTTGTTTCACAACCTGGTTATTTTTCACAGATTCAGCTTTAATTTTAGACGTGTTAATGTGATTTGAAATCTTCTGTATCCATTTTAATCATTAAAGAAAAAATGGAATAGCTAAAATGTATATAATTTTGAAAAACTTTGATTTTTATTTATAATCTTTTTATGTCACATTTCTGTAACTGTACCAAAAACCATCCTTTGGGCTGTAATGCAAGAACAGCTGAATTGTGCTGTTGCACAGATAATGATGCAACATACAGCCATAGAGTCAGGAGATATTTTTAATTAGAGAAAATAAAAATAATAAAAAAACAGAACAAAGGGCTTCAGCTGTTGTAATGCGACTATCTGAGGTTTCTAACACTTCATCTAAAGTACATTTTGTGAAAAGCTATTTGAAAAATGTACGCGGATGGAGAACAGCTGAGAATTAAATTGCTCACTGAGGCCTTGCTGTCTGTATACGTGTACTATAGAAAGAAACATGCAGGAAATTAAAAATAAACAAACAACCCCCCCTTATTTTGTAGCACAGTATGATACTGTGCAATTAAATTGCACTAGAGTTACTAGTACAACTTGTTCTTACAGTAGACATCGTGTCTGGCCCACAGGCTCTTACTTAGTTGTACTTGCTTTCTCTTTTAGTCATTTTGCTGTTTTCCAATGAGAGAAAACCACTATTTTCTAAGTGTCATAATTATGAAGGGGGATAACTACTAAAACTGGACCATCATTCTGCCTGGTATTTTGGACCCTTGGAAAGAAAAGAGCGAGCTAACTGGAGAGAAACAGTTGCCCCCCAGGCCAGGCGTTAACAACACCCACAGGTTTGGGTGCTGCCGCCCTGGTCTTGCAGGGGTGTCTTGAACAGTTGCCTCCATTTCAAGGCCTACAAGGTGCACATGTGGCCCAACACAGCCTCCCACACGAGCCCTGCACAAGTTCATCCCAAATGTCCATTTACCGGAGGGGAAGTGGGAAGAGCCTGGGCTTGGCAAGCGGGGGCTGGCGGGGCCGCTCGCCAGGCCTGGGCCTCCTTCCCCGATGGCGGCGCCAGCCTGGGCCGCGCCGCCCCTTGGAGCCGCCTCCCGTGGCAAAATGAGGAGAAACAGGCCTGCCTGCCTCCTAGGTTTTAACGGCCGTGTGAACTGAAAGGATTAATGCGTCGGGAGAATTGGTGTTTGAGCCTAGTGGGGAAAACAGGCTGTTGGAGTTGCTTAGGCCCATGTCAGACTGCTTTTGTTTTGCTGCTGAACTTCATGCTCTTCTCCGCCGTGTTTGCATGCAACCCACTGTACTTCAGAGGCTTGGAAAGGGCACCTTAGAAATTGTTTCCGCAATGAGAGGCAAGTCAAGGACTCCAGAGGAGACAAAACAGGCTTTAGATAATTGTGCTGTTACAGCCTGCTACAAATCAAGGTATATTACGCCTTCAGCTGCAGCTCTTGAGGAGAGGCTGTTACTTTTTAGCATTCAGCACGCTGCCTTCTAGGTAAATCCTCTTACCCGGGATTTGAATTTCTATAGACCGCTGTCTGCCTTGAGGTATTGTGTGCCGTCTCGGAGCTGCAGCGGCCTCTCCTGCATAATAACCATTGCACACAGCAGCAGCCAGCGCCAGTACCGCAATGTCTGCCTGAGAGAGGGGCAGATGTTGCTGCCTGCCTCTGATGCAGACCTGCAAGTTAGGAATTATTACTGGCTTTGGTTTTTCCTTATAATTATTTTTGTTGGTGCTGGTGGTTTTTAACTAGCGGACCTGCTTTGGGCTGATGAGTTTTATGTGCTGAAATGCATGCTTTTTTTTTTTGTCTGTGTTGGAAAACTTGACAGGGAGCTATGTGTTATTTGGCTAGCTGGAGGTGTAGGTTTGTTCATTTGTGTGTGTGTTTGAAAGGATCTGCTTTCTTTCTTTTTTTTTTTTTTTTTATGTGTTGCTTTGCCTTAATTGTTCAGTGCAAATGGGTTATTTTTCTGTAGTTCGTGCTCCGGATTTTTCATTGCTGTGCTATTTGTAGCTTAGTAAGCAATACAGTCGGGGTTTTACTACATTTAAAAAAAATAGTTGTGTAGGTTTTGAGATGTGAAAGTCAAGTGTTGTGGTAGTCATAAGAATTTAAATTATTTTCGGAGGCATTGGTGAGAATATTTTTGGTTTTTTACCTTACAGTACTGATGTTACTGGTATATTTAAATATGGAAATGGTTGGCTTTGTGTATGTAGTTGTCTGCTTTCTCTCAGTGAGTTTCACTGTAATAACCCTTCTGCAAAGCTGCTGCAAAACAATTTTCAGGCTTTTCTCTTTAGATCTGCTTATTTTGTATAATATGATTGCTAGATGGGAGCAAATCTTTTCCTTTCTGCTTTACCTAGTCATATTAATGGTTAATGACAGAGCAAGGTGACAGGTCCGATGCAAAAAGGTTTTGGAATTATTTAGAATTGTAAGTTTGACATTTACAGGCCAGAATATAAAAGTCAGCACTTCTTTCTTTTTCTGTCGGAAAAATACTATATGAAGTAGATAGTTTTATTTTTATTTAGCCCTTTCTCTTTTAAGTTGCCTGCTTAGCATTGCTATGGTAACAGAGTAAAGGATGCCTCTGAGAAGCCCAGCCTGCACTGCATTGTAAGTGAAGGGAGATTTTAAGTTCTTGTGTTGTTGCTGACCACTGGAAAAGGGGACAAGGTGGAGAAATGAGCTGATATATTTATGAACTATTATCTAATGTCTCAAGTTAAAAGTTATTTTATAAGTAATGCACTGTGAGGTCTTTGTTTTCTGTGCTCTCTTTTGGGAATAATACTGCTAAAATATGCCCTAGAATTTGTAAATTTGGGTTGTCATTAAAGTTGAGACTTCATTTTTATAAACTGTTATATGTTAAAATTGTGCTGATAGAATTCAGTGACTTGTTATAGTATGCTTCCAGCAGCTAATGGATATGAATGATACCTTAATTTTATAATATTTTGTCTCTAATATATATTTATTTAGAAATTCAGATAGATGTAGAGATCTATCTCTATAGAGATGACATAAATAAGGTTCTCTTGGACCTTGCATAAAGTTCTGTAGTATCTTTGTATGCAGCAGCTTTGCAAGTACTGAAGGGGAGCTGCATCCATCGATCGTGAGGAATCTTCTCCTTCTCCTCCCCCCCATATTAATCATGGGGCCTGGTGCTGCCACTGGCATCCCAAACAGAGGGAGGTAGATGGTTGTTTTGGTGCTAACAAGACAGGATACACTAAGACATCAGTAGCTGGGGGGAATCAGAAGCCTTTGGGAACTGTTTTCTTGAGACCTGTATTTATTAACTATAATATTTTACTTGCTGTCACTTAGGTTCCAGTACTCTTAGGTCTGATAACGCTACTGAATTAATACGTTATTCCAAGTTGCTTGCTGTATTCTGTATGAGAAAGGGCAGGAGGCACCTGAGCTTATATTGCCTATTCTGTTCTTTTTTTTCCCAACTGAAAATCTCCTCTTTTTTTTTCCAGCATTTTCAGTTAGCTTTGATCGACTGCAATCCCTGCACTTTGTCTAATGCTGAAAGTAAGTAGTTTACATGGGGTTTTGTGTTTCTGCTTTTTTTGTTTTTGGCACATCGCCCAGTGGGATTATGGATTGTTCTAGTAAATGGAATAAGTGAAAACTAGAGTTAGACAAAGATTTACAGCCTTGTTTATTTGTTTATAAATGCAGTGTTTGTGCCATGGCATACATTTAGTAATCATTGCATACAACAGCAATCACTTAAAAACTTTGGAATCTTGATAATCTCTTATTCTTCAATGGTTGTTTTAATGCCGATTACATTTAAATTTCTAAAATTCAGCATCAGTTGCCTTTTTTGCAATTGAAATAAAAATTAGGATATAACTTGGTTCTTTGTTAATTACTATCTGTATGCTAATTTGTATTTAGACACATTAATCTTGGTGTAGAAGGATCTGCCATTTGCTATGTATGCTGAAGGCTGGATATTTACTTGTGACTAGGCCTAAATGGAACTACATGCAGAAGTAAAGCTATATTTTGCATATTCTGGGGACTAAGGTCTCCAATTTCTTAAATAAAGAGAATTAAAAATTGGCAGTTGTGAGGGAAGTTATTCCCTGACTTTTTATGGTACTTTCCACTGCATTTGGCGTTGAGCTGAAGTTAACCTCATAAGAGTAAATTCAGAAGCATTAGATAACGTGTTTAAAAGCATTTTTCTCTTTTTCTAATTTGAGAGTGGGTGGCATTGTCATTGTTCTATCACTAAGGGTAAATAAAGTGAGAGGTTTTATTTGTATTGGTAAAACTGCCGACTACATCGGTATCGAGGAGCCAGCTGTGCTCTGAAGTCTGCTCCAAAGTTATGTCACTTATCAGGAGCATCTGCAGGTAATTGTGTAAAGTTATTTGCAGAATACTTAGTAGTTAGGCTTTTATTGTTCCTTACCAGACACGTGATTCTTTATTGTATTTCATGTTATTTCTGCCTACTTTTTATCAGATTTTGTCATCTTTGCGTTTTTATGAGGTTTCTTTGCTCTTCCCGCCATTCTCCCTGCCTCCAGCTCTGTGCAGTCCCACAGCCAGAGCTCTCCTCCACAGCACAGGGCTGCCGACCCAGTGGATTAACTGCTGTCACGTAAAAGATGGAGACCATATGAGTCCCTTTGCATTTCCGAGCTAGGCAGCGTGGGCAGCAGCTTTACAGTGACTCTCTTACAAGCAGAAATGTTGGGGTACTAAGTGTGTTAGGTAGTTACTAAGTGTTACGTAGGCAGTTTCTTATGCGACACCTTTAATTCCTTTCCGCTGTATGGAATGGCTTCCCTTTTAGCTTATCACTGAAGGGGTTTTGCTGCTGGGGAGAACAAAAATAAAAAAGATTTTTTAGATAATGAATTCCCCAAAACAAAGGCAGAAGTTTTTCTTTTTTCTTTCATCTTTGCGGAGTGATGATGTGGTGTGTAATGTGGGTGTGTAATGTGCCCTTTAGCAAGAAATACAAAAAGTTTATTAAAATTTTAGATGGTGTGTTTCATTAGGATCTGGTATCTGAGGTGCAGTAAAGTACCTTCTTTATGGGAAAGGACAAAGCATTTAACAAAGAGGTCTTTCAAAACATTTAACAAAGAGGTCTTTTCCCTCCCCTAATGACACAGGGAGAAAGCCTGGACCTCTGAAGTATCTGTATAAACTTCTGTGTTAGGCTGTGCTACAGCTCTGAGAGAAAGAAATCAGTATTTGAGTTGGCTTATAATCAAGATTAAAAATAGCCTGGCTCAGAGACTGTTGTTTGCCTATTCACGGTCCTCAAGGACTTCACTTAAAAGTCTGTATCAAAGGATTTTCCCCCTCTTCTTGAAATGAGAGTAAAGATGACATTCGTCTCAGTGAGCTTTCGTCCTGACACAGTGCTCATCTTCTGAGCTGGCAGCTCTCAAACGCTTCAGAGCTTTGGCTCTTTAATTTCCTTCTCCTTCCTGCACAGGCACACATGCCTTCTCACATGTGTTGGCCTCCTTTCTGACTCATAGTCTGATTTCCCTCTCCAAAAAATGTTCTTGGTTCCAAGAGTTAGCAAGGTTTGCTAGTACTGCTCTGCACATCTCTGTAATGAGTATGAGGTATTAGGGCCTTTTACAGCAGTGGTCAAAATACCATCTGTAATTAACTCTTCAAGTTTGTATTTAACTGAGAGAAGAGAGTATCCCCCAAAAAAATGAAAAAAAAATGAAAGAAAAATTTAAAACCCTGTGTAATACTTGTAGTGCCCAATGTAGATTTCTGATTTTCTGCAAGTCCCCTCTAATCCTATCCCTTGACAATTGAAAGATTTTTCTTTTCTAGCTTGCTTATGTACAAAAAAAGCTACCTCTGTTGTCTTCATACCTCTTTGCAGAAAGAAATTGTATTGTGAAGTTTCCAACGATTTTAGTGGACTCTGCTTTTCTGAATGTGGATAAAACCTTTAGACTTCTTTTTTACAGAATCTCTTTACAGTCTTAACACTTTGCTGGAGTACATATTCATTTGCTCAGGATCACAGAATGGTTGAGGTTGGAGGGGAGCTCTAGAGATCATCTGGTCCAAACAGTTCCATTAAACATAATATACCATTTCTTTTGGTTTCTCAAGGCTTCCTTTTGGTTTTGCAAAATGTTATTTATCTTGGTTTTGCATTGCTCAATTTGAAACATTGTTTTATTCCTGCTTGAAAAATTGTGTTGTAACTGTCGGTGTCTGTTTATTACGATTAATGATGTTTATTTCCCCCTCTTACAGTTCAGTTTCACATTGCCCACTTATATGAAATCCAGGTAAGCTCTAAGCTCATTTCCGTGAAGACTGGTCATGTCTGTAACTGTGTGGTGAAGTCAGACTCTGTAATTCAACTGATGAGAGAAGCTTTTGTGAGTGGAAGGTAGCCTTTCTTGTGGAATTGATAAGGAAACTTAATTTATTATGGTTCAGTTCTAGATATCATGCATGTGGACTGTCATGCTCTTTTGAGAGGCCTAAACTATTATATATTTGTAGTTTGACTGATGGCATATGATGTGTATTGTAGACTCTTCATCATGTTTATTAGTATAATGGCTGAGGAAGAGATGTGACATGAAAACAAAAAATGTTTTAAATAAAACAGATGACAAATGCTACACTTTTCACTCAATTGAAAAACAACTTGATAAAGTAAATGCTGTTTTTGATGGTAGCAAATAAAATGACAAATGAGTAGGTGTACATATATAAACGGAAGTCATAAATTTGATGAACAAACTCTTTTCTTTTAAGTGCCCTTATTCTGAGTGCCATTTCAGTAAGCTGCAGAACAGGAGTAAGACAAGAATTCCCCATCCCAAAACATCAGGACGATACTTCATTGACTGTTGGTGGTTCTGTAAAACATTAAAAAGACTTTTCATTTGGAGGCCATCCAGTTTGCGTCTTGAACTGGGGCACATCTAAGAAGTTCATATAACAAAGCATCCCTGACACATTAGCTCTTTTGATCTGCTAGAGTAAAATAGCAAGTTGAAAATGCCAGGTCACCATGGCAGGTGCTTTGGGTAATTGCCCGGCCAACGTTGCTTGTGTTTAACCACACGAAGTAACTGGCGTTCCTGCGAATGGCGGCTTTGCCTTAACACAAGTCCAGGGCAAAAAATTGTGCGTTTTCCAGCTAGTCCTAGTTTGTCTTGCGGGTCTGGTCAAGGGTTGTGTCCCTTTCTGGGATTTGAGAAGCTGAGAAATCGGGTAGGCCGCAAAGGGTCTTAACTTGACTCTGAGTCATCACCCGTGGCCCAGTGAAGAGATGGTTTTGTGGGGAGCGTTGGTTTCTTCTCAAGGACACAGTGCTACAGTTTCCTCCGTGTATCTGCTCTCGGCTACTGAGGTGAAAAATCAAGTAATTCATTCCTCATTTATCTCCCTTCACAGTGCTGAAGGTTCAGTGATGGGTTGCCAGCCTCCGGACAACAGAGTAGCCCAGTGGTGCTAAGAGCTAGTGGTGTTTTTTCCTGGTGTTTAATAACAGTTTCCATACTCCATCTGTGGCAGTGCCTGTCCCTGTAGCCTTTTAGGATACCAGTGTCTACAGTTTCAAAAGAAAGAGATTGTTAGGGTTTTTTTTCCCCCATTTCTAGGACCGCGAAGGGAAATATATTCCCATCTTTAAAATATCTAAACAAAAACATAAGCAAACAGTAAATGTTTTTCTGCATTATCTAAAGGCAGATATGTTGACAGATCTTTAAAGGGTAAATGATACAACAAAGAGCAGAGGTAAAAATGGTTCTAGATCTGGAAAAGGTGCCTTAATCCAGCTGGTCGTTTTGAATCTTTCCCAAGAAGTAAATACCTTTCTCAAAGCAGGGACGTCAGGTGTTAGAGCCTCCTATTTTACTTTCAGCTTGCTGTCCCTGCTGTCATGCTGTACTCTGAACTTGTGTTCAATTGCTTATCCTTCATAGTCATTAACTATGGATTTTGGTCCCCCAATGCTAAATATACATATATATATATATATATATATATATATATATATATATATAAAAAATCCTGATTGTTTTTATTTTGCTAGACATGGATATTTTATTCATTTACACTATTTGTTTTCTTACCAGTTATCTGCATTTCATGAACACCAGTTTAAAACCTTTTCTACCAACTTGTTGCTTTTCAAAGTATGTAATTGCTGCTTTAATTTTTCTTCCTGACTGGAATGAGGTTTCAAAATCAACACAGTTATCTTTTGGGATTATGGGATCCAAAGAACCTAATGATGTTTTTTTAACTTCTATTATTTATATTGATTACATTTTTCTTCCCAGTTGCCCCTCTTAAAATAAGAGTAATCAGTATTGTGTACTTTTTGCATAAATAAACGTCACTAAACCATGATCGTTTGCTTTTAGTGGCCCCAGTTCTTTTAGGACACTTTTCATCTGTGTGTCAGAATGAGGTCTAAAATTATCAGAAAGCATATTCTTCTTGAAAAATGTGTAGAATTTTTAGAAATTCTCAAAAACATTTATTAGTACTACTATTAGCTTTTTTTTTTTTTTTGCATTCTAAACTTCTAGAAATCTAAAAACAGAACTATTAGGTGTTTAAAATAGATTTATTCATGAACAAATATTGTTAAAGTAATGTGAAGATAAACAAAAGTTAATATTACTCAAAAATTCATCTATCAAGAACCCTTTAATGTATACAAACCATCGCATATTGTTTCAGAAGTCAATACAGATCATGATCCCCACCCAGAAAAGCTGGATTTATAGTGAATGATAAAATGAACATTTCCATACTTCAGGCACAGGCGGATTTAAAATAACAGGATAGCATTTATTCATTCTTTAGCGGAGTCCATGGTATGTTTTCTGCATTGTGCTCCGTTGGATGGGCTTCTTACCAGGACACATACTTCTTCAGTTACTGAAAAGACAGTTCAAGTGTGCTGAGGACTTTTAAAAAGAAGGGGAAAGACAAAATTGTTCTAGTCAGCAGTTATTAATAACTTTCATTTATCTTTGGAAATTTGTAGGCGTTTGTGTAGCTTTTTTTTTCAGATGTAGCCTCATATTCAAGCATTCCCCTTAAAAGCAGCATATTCATTTTAGTCTAAGAAGCATAATGCATGCAAGAGAACTGACCAGATTTAATAACTTGCAAATTTCCCTTTATATATTCAGTTTATACTAAAGACTATATTTCATGAAAGTTATTTATTAGGTTATATATACATTACTCATTAAAGCTTTCATATGCACTGTATGCAAAAAAAGTTCTGGATTTTTTTCTGTCAAAGTGTTTGTGTGCTGTCAGTGCTGTGAAATCATTGCTATTGATGATCTGTTGTAAGCTTTCTGATTAATCCATGTCCTTTTTTCCATTTGTAGAGAAAGTATCACTCTGCAAAGGAAGCTTACGAACAACTTTTGCAGATCGAAAACCTTCCTGCACAAGTAAAAGCAACTGTCTTACAGCAGTTAGGTATGTAAAAGCAACTCTTTCTTTCTGTGTATTTGTTTTTCCATCTTTTTATTTATTTATTTTTTAAGCTGCATTTCTGGTGTGAGTCATAGTAACTAAATATCATACGTGAGATTTTCACACAAAATAGAATGCATAACAGTAAATAGTTAAGTACATAAGAGAAGGGGAAAAATTTAATTGAACTGAACGAATTTAAAAAAACTCTGGACGTGATGTAGAATGTTGGTCAATGAAAAGTGAGGCTTTTTGACTTTTTTTTGAAAGGAAAGGCAGGAGTTAGAATTTTGTTTTCTCTTTCCCGCTTATCAAAACATTCCCCTGGATAGCTGAACTAAATACAGGAAAACAAAATATGTTTTTCTATTGTCAATAGAAGATTGCATGTGAAAAAAATCACCTTTTATTTCTCTTAACTGTAACATTTAATGAAAACATACTCATCTGACTGAAAAATATACGGAGGCATTTTAAAAAACGAACCACATAAAAATAAAGTATTTATATATATATATATATTCTTTTCCATATTAATAGAAAGCTGATGATTCATCCTTAATCCAAAATGTGCAGTGAGCAGGTAGAATAAACTGCATTTCTCCCATATGCTTTATAAAAATATTTCCAGAATATTTTCCTAATTTTTTTCAATCCAGTGTAAATCTCTTCATTCATTTTCATGTTTTTCACCTAATTTAGTACCTTAAATATTAATTTGGCCTATTTATACTCAACTTTCCTTTCCTTCACATAGTGACCACTGAATTCTCATTAGTAACTGACAGTATGCTGTGCCCACACTGCTTTCTCCTTATATAATGCAGGCTGTTCATGTATTTGAGTGAAGTGGACTCATTTTTTTGGCCTTAAATGAATGTGCTAGAATTTAGACACTAATCGTTTTTGCTTCCCATTACAATATTCTTTCAATTTTTCCATTTCAGTCTTCCTTTGCTCTTATACAATACAATTACTCTTAATTGTAAATGGCATTTGTCATAGTTACAGACTCAAGGAGCTGGTAATAAAGCACCTTCTGAGGAAGAGTAGCCTGGGTAGTGCATTGATGCTTTGGAAAAAATAGTGGGGAAATGCTTATTATCGGCTAGAGTGCTATTGACAAATATATATATATATAGATAGATAGATAGATTTGTATTTCTGTATTGATGTTTTTCTGTTCAAATAGAAAAAAATGTTCTGGCATTAGAATTCCCTTTGTTGATTTTCCTCAGCTATTTAATATTTATCAGGTTAACATTTAGATAATTTTAAACGTCTTGTGAGAGAATTATAAAAAGCATTGCTCTTGCTGCTGGTTTTCAGAGCGCTGTGGAGGAGAACCTTGTGATTCTGAGACACACACGCGTGTGTGTGAGCATGCCGACTAGTTCCAGTAGGAACAACAGGAAAATGTACAGTTGGAAAAGGGCAGCTGGCTGCTGCTTTTTTTTTTCCTTTTCTTTTTCCCCCCTCCATTTCCTGCTCTTTACGGAAAATAATTGTTTTCACCATTTTATGTAAAATTACAGGGCAGCCATAGCAGATGAGACTGAAGATCAGTCTGTCCACGGATTTTTCTCCACTTGTGGTTAAGAGTTGCATGGGGAAGAGCGTAAGAGCGATGCAGATGGCTCCTTCGAGCTTTCCCAAGCATTCCCCCGATGCTTTTCAGCTAGGGGCTTCCTAGCTCAGTGTCCTTGTAGTTGGGTGAGACACCATGAAAAGCCATTGTGGGGAGGAGGCTCCTCTCTCCATCTGTCGTCTCTGCCACGCTGACATTTCTCTGGGAAAGAGCAATGGGAACAGGCTCAGAGGAGAGGGACTTTGCAGCCTGGAAAAGGGCAACGGCTGCGTGCGTGAGGCTCGCGCGTCACCTGCTTGAGGAGACACAGGGATCTGGTATAAGTTACATTGTAAAGCCCGGGAAAAGAGCCCGGAAGTACAGACGAATCCTCCAGTCTTGTTTATTAGAAATATTGCAAGTGTCCCAAGAGTAGGTAGTATGCTAGTTGAGAGTTTGGGGCAGGTCCTGAAGAAAATGAGAAGCCTCACAGCTTTAGCGGGGTTCCAGCCTGACAGAATTGGAAACAACTCTTCTGCAAAATCCAAGAATGTGAAAACTGAGTGTGGCTGGAGCTTGCCTTCCTTTTGGACCAGTTACCATGTACAGCCTCCATTTGGTTGGGCCAAATGCAAAACAAAACAGTCTTGCTTGATTGGTTGCTCTCCGTACTTCCCTCATTTTACTGATGAGCAGTAGAAATCTTTAGTTTATTTGTTCCATCTCAGACTCTCCCTTGCCTTCTGCGTTTTGCACCTCCCTGCAGAGAGGGGTAGTCAGGAAGCAGCCCTTGTTCCGGCAGTGACACTGCCTTGGGTTTGGTACTTCTCGCTTCTCTCTCCTAGAAGTAAATTCTTGCTAGATACAGCACGCTCGCTTTCAGCCTGGTGAGTTTCTGATGAGGCACAAAATACACACTGGAGCTCAGTCTAAAGATTCAGGAAGTTACCTTACGTGTGTGTATACCTACACATATATATATATATATATATGTATGTATGTATGTGTTTTACCCTTGGTTATAATCTCTGCAGTACTGCCTTTCTCACATTCAGACTTGGCTTTGTATCAGGGCACCGATAGGAGCAGAGCAGGGGCACAGTTACGCTCTCTATACAGTTACACAGGTACACCTTCACATAAGAATTTTCACAGAATTTTATTTCCTTGAAGGTGTGAATATCATCTATATATTTATGAACTTCAGTGACTTAAAATTCCAGTCAGAATCATAGCTTGTCCATCAAGTCCACAAAAGCAAGTCTGTATGTTACCTGTCTCTGTAAGAAATACAGGGCTTTTTGTTTTGTTTCATTTTCTGAAGGGCAGACCTGGACTTAAAACACGATTGAATGATCTTTTTGTCAGCACTGTAACCACTTAACTCCTAACCCGACATTTCTTTCAAAATGCTGTTCCTGGTCATGATTTGCCAAGTGATACTTTCTTAACTACCTGTAGCAAGTGGCACTTTGGGTACCTTTTTAAAAACTTTGAAGTTTGCCTTCCATTTGCAAAAGTGCCACTCTGACTAATAACAAACTGTAAGACTGAAACTACATCTAAGATATATAGAAGAGGTAAAACAAATTGTTTAAAGCCTGGACTAGTTGCAGAGTGTGAAATTGGGCTGATAGCTCCCTTCTCAGCCTTGTTTAACTTCTCAGACAAGGCAGGCAGGCTTTGCTCCTTCAGACTTCGCTCATTTAAGCGGGGTTACATGTTCGTGGGGTTAGGCTGTATCGGAAAAGGAAGTCTTGGGCCTTGGCATTTAGTTGTTGGAGCCTTTAAATGGACACTAGGTGCAGGTCTGCATGGCCAACTCTGAGTGTAAGTTGAGCTTTATACAAGCTGTGGATATTGTACAAAATTTATGTTATAGTGTTTCACAGGGCACCTGTTATGGACAAGGCATTAGTGAAACATAAGGACTATCTGTTGTCATATCTTACAGCTTACAGATGTTGCATGAAAGGTAGTAGATTATTAAGACAAGTACATGGAGATGAAGGAAAGAGCAAGCCATTACTGATCAGATCCATCAGTATGGGGTGATTTCAGCAAGCCAGTTGCCAGGCCTTATATGTATGGCAGGAATGGCAGCAATACCGTTTTAGGAATGATTAAAATAAATTCCTTTTAAGCATAAAGGCAGATGGGGAGCAGCTTGAGAGGATGATGAAAGTGCTTTTCTGAAATGGTCACCACGTCTTGCATCACTGGTGGGCCAGAAGTACCTCTTGCCATCCTAACAACACACAAAAGAGGATACAGGAGCATAGGCTGTGGGAGGCCCTGAAGGAGCCTCCTAAATAGTTTGTCTAATATAATGAGGAAAGAAAAGGATTTGGAAGAGCTGGATGCATGGTCAGATAAGAAGATCCTTTCAGCAGGATTTTGAATGTAGATCGGAGGTCATTTCATTCCTCAAGATGAAAGGAGAGGATGTTGTAGCCAGGTTGATATTAGAGTAACAGAAGAAAGAATTAAGTGGAGATGCATTTTGTTAGGGAATTGGCTAAATATAGATGTGGCGTGGATAGGAAAATTTAGAAGGAAAGGGGTAAATTGAACATAATATCTAGGTAATGGAAGTACATGACAGGGAGAATGGTGTTATCTTTTTCACAATGACAGGGAAGGAGCCTGTATTTAGAGAATAAAGGAGTTAACATTTTCAGATTGACTTTTATACTAAAAGATAGAACAGTTTGTAATTACGATACTAACCATGTGAAAAATGATTATAAAACAAAATTACAAAGTACCTGAAAGTCATCTTGGCTTAGTGTCCTTCCATCTTGTCATTTTATGATAGGACTTGAAAACGTTGAAAGTTTTGTTCATAAAACTGAACATAAGTGATGATACTGTGGTTTGACGTTTCATTTTTAGAGAGACTGATGCTATTTTGGCTGTCATCCTCTGCCAAAGTGCGATACGGTCTTTGAGAATTTCACTTCTGCCACTTGTGATTCCTTCTGTAGGCTGGATGCATCACACCGTGGATCAGCTTGGAGACAAGGCAACCAAGGAAAGCTATGCTATACAGTATCTCCAGAAATCTCTAGAAGCGGATCCTAATTCTGGCCAATCTTGGTATTTTCTTGGAAGGTGAGAACTGACTTTGTAGATGCTGAGCTATGTTTGTATTTGAAGTGGGGGAGGTTCTTCTGTTCCTTGTTTATAATTAAGGTTCTTTTGGGGAAGCTGTGGCAGATGGCCCTGCTTTTCTGGTTAGTCTGCACGATTACACTAATCTAAGTCTGCCTGTTCTTCTGTCTTTTTTTATGTTCTTCTTTATGCCTTCCTCATACTACCACAACTTTTCTTCTTTTTGGTGAATTGTCTGTAAAAATGCTTTTTTTTTTTTTTTTTTTTTTTTTTTTTTTTTTTTTTTTTTGTTATTTATTATCTACTTTTCCCCCTCAAAATCTACCTTTTAGTCTTAATCAAATTTTGTACTACCTGTAAGTATTTTCTTGATGTATATGTAATGTATAAACACTGTATATTACAACTGAGCTTTAGTCCCAGATAGCTCAAATGGACCTGTTCTAGTCTGTACTGAAGTGTTGTATTGTTTACTAGCAGACATTGTTTTTCACTTTAAAATAAACTTTTTATTCCAAAATGTAGATATTAGTTTGATGACTGATTTGATTTCTCGTTCTTCTTTTTAAGAAACAGTTTAGAGTATTTCATACAGTTAGAAGTACAGCTGATCTTCTATACGCTGATTTTTTTTCTTTTATGAGGGCAATGTGAGTTCACATGTCAGCAGGTCAGTTCTGTTAAGTGGAAATCATATTAAATATAAATTGCAAAAAGAAAAAAATACATATTGTAACCACTGACTCTTCTAGCTGACTTTCTTGGAAGTTCAGGTCTTACACAGCTGGACCAAGTTTTCTTTTTGTCATTCCTTACTATCTTCCTTGCAACTGTTGCTTTAGGACAGGGCTCTTCAACCCGCACACTCCGCTGAGGGAGGCACATGCGGTGAACGGGAAGCCCGAAAGGCCAGGGCACAAGTGAGGAGAGAAAGGGAAAATGAGCCAAGGAATTCGCTGGGCAAAAATCCTGTTTCTCCATCAGTGCTTAGTATTGATATGCAGTAGTAGATATTTCTAGGCAGAGCACCACTAGATTCTATTGTATTTCTTTCCTAGTGTGCCTTCCTAACATGTAAGATTCTAGCATAGTTGGCATCTTTGTTCAGTCTCGGTCTGTATTGTTCTTACTGCTCTGCCTTTTTTAAATTTTATTTTATTTTGTTTTGTTTTATTTTTTATAAAATATTTTCTGTTATTTATGTGTTTTGAAAGCTGTTAGTGGGGTATTTTACTGCAAGCAATATAAAGAAAATAGCTATTTTAAATAAGTGTTGTTGTTCTTGTTATTATTTATTCAAACGTTTTTATTAAAAAGATAGGCATTCCCTTCCCCTTTCCTTCTTGCTGTCTTTGTTTGAATTCTGATATTTCTGCTTAGAGTACTTTTGAAGGTCTACTATGTTTGTAATATTCCAGTCAGAAACTACAAAAAGAATCCAGAACGGCAAAATTTTTGCAAATTTTCATGTTCTCCAGTTATAGTAGATCTAACAGGGTTGTTGTTGATTACTTTGAAATTTGTCTGAGATGCATGAAATGCACATGCCAGGCTTGCCAGGCCAACAAGAAGCATTACAGTTGAGCTCTTTTCTCTGTAATAGTTACGAAATGCTTCTAGTAGAACGTAAAGTTTCATAACAATTTGCTTGATGTAATAGGTAGCTTTTTTGTTTCTTTAGATTGTTGTCTGTAAGTAAATACTACTAATGTTGACTGATGAGGTCGCACAGATGCAACAAATGTAAATCTTCCAAATGTTGTCTGACTTCTGCTTTCCTTACAAACACAGTAAGCTGGCATTTAAACAGCTTCGGTGGACTTCTCAACTACTCAGGAGAACATTTTGATTAAGAATAGTGTTGAGTCAGCTTGTGCCTGGCATTCAGAAAGAGCAGATGTTTGGGCTTCATCTAGATGAGTGTCTATTTGTATGAGTGTCAGTCCCCTCTTGGGGAGCCTTGCTCAGTGATCTCTTTCTCTAAATATTGCCAAATACATTTCTTTTTTCTTTTTTTCTCCCAGGTGCTATTCAAGTATTGGGAAANAAATATTGCCAAATACATTTCTTTTTTCTTTTTTTCTCCCAGGTGCTATTCAAGTATTGGGAAAGTACAGGATGCCTTTATATCTTATAGGCAATCTATTGATAAATCAGAAGCAAGTGCAGATACATGGTGTTCTATAGGGTAAGAATGATATAGGGTAATACAGTGTTATAATTCATTATTTAGAAATATTCATGAAGAATATCCACCTTTAAATTCTTTTGTGCTCTCAAATGGATTGTAAAGTTTACTTTTTACCTTTATATTGTCAGAGATGTCTGATTTTAAGTTAAAAATAATACTATTATATTTCTTTTCTCAATATTTGTAATAAGTATGCTATGTATATGAGCTTTGCATGCTTAATGGTTTTAAAAAATGTGCTGCTCATGTTTATTTTTCTGCTTTTTATATAAAGCAGAATAATGTGTATAAAGGGTTTTGGGGTGGATGGGTATATTTGCTTTCTTTGTGTTTTGGCTTTGTTATTAATTTTCAACTCCACTAATCTTTCTATTCAGTGTGCTGTATCAACAGCAAAATCAGCCTATGGATGCTTTACAGGCCTATATCTGTGCTGTACAATTGGACCATGGCCATGCTGCAGCCTGGATGGACCTAGGCACACTCTATGAGTCCTGCAACCAGCCTCAGGATGCCATTAAATGCTACTTAAACGCAACTAGGAGCAAAAATTGTAGTAATACCTCTGCACTTGCAGCACGGATAAAGTATTTACAGGTAAAACTAACGTTTTAAGAAAAGGGAAATACTCTTCCAAGTACACAGCAGAGGGGAGGGGCAAAGTGACACACAGCTTTAATTTAAAATTGTTTGTGGTGTGTATAACTTGTATCCATGTGTATTGTAAGCATATCATAGCTTGAAATATTTTATTTCTTCATTTTTAAGTGGAACTTAATTCCTATTAAGTAATGCTCTTTTGCACATTTAATCAATACATACTGTTTTACATCACTCTGCTTTTTTTTTCCTTTGTATTGTCTACATTTTTTAAGTTCTCATAGCATATGTAGAGAGAACACACACACACTATCTTTCACTCTTGTTTGCAATTTCAGACCAAAAAGAATTATGAGACCTCTGAATCCAGAGCTCGTCTTTGTTCTGATTCTCACAAAGGTTTATATTCTGGTTACCCTCTTTATACTTAGCACCTCTCTAAAACCCAAATTTTAAATCTATCCTCTCTTTAAGACGTAATTAGCTACAGCATTTAGGAAGATGTCATGGACTTGCTCTTACTAAAGTAGGCTTGTGTTAAATTTGCTTTTTACATAATTTTTCCTAGGCTCAGTTGTGTAACCTTCCACAAGGTAGTCTACAGAATAAAACTAAATTACTTCCTAGTATTGAGGAGGCGTGGAGCCTACCAATCCCCGCAGAGCTTACCTCCAGGCAGGGTGCCATGAACACAGCACAGCAGGTGAGAAGTTGGGTTATGTTCTGTAGGTGCCCAGCTTTAAGGGTTCTTTAAAATCTGTAGCGGTCAAGCTTATTTGATTGAGCGCAGGATTGGCTTTTACTCATGAAAAGCCTTGGATTTATTTGCAAAGGGATACTAGCTCGAGAAGAAGCTCCCTGTAAAATGGGAGAAGTATGGGGGTACCAATTTAGAACCTTTGTGGATTTTCATGATTATGAAAGATTTCATCTTAATAGAAATGCTACAGTGGTTTAATAATTCCATGAAAGGTACACATTCCTCCATTGATGACCATATGGAAACTGATTTTTCAGTTATTGAGATAAGCCTCAGTAAAGCTGCGCAGCCCTTTTAAAGTACGTGGGCTGTTAAAATATGTAATTGAAAGAGAAGATTTAAGAATACATAGAACCATATTTTTGTCTTCCTTCTGTGATTCTTAGGCGTGTAAACCTCATCATCCAAATACTGAACCTGTACTAGGCCTCACTCAAACACCAATTTCACAGCAATCCTTGCCACTACACATGATTCCTTCTAGCCAAGTAGATGACCTGACCAGTCCTGCCAAGAGGAAAAGAACATCTAGTCCAACGAAGGTATATATTCTGATGAACTAAAGAGCCCCCAGCCCAAATTTTTCAGAAATACGCATTACCATGATGCAGCATGCACAGAATTTGTGCGGTACAGTTTAATCCGTTGGCATCAAGGTGGGGAATGTCTTAGGAATTTTAGGAAACCTCTTTCAGTAACGTGTTTCATTAGGAGGTTATAATTCAGATAGGAGATTGGTGGCACTGTTCTCTACCAACCTCTGGATAAGGACAGTCATAGGGTGGTGAAGGTTAGAGAGGGAAGCGACCATGTCATCGTGTCTATTGCCTTTGCTTATATTTAGAATTCAAATGTTTCATCATCATGCAAGAATGTTACGGTAGATGCAAGTATTCAGTCTTAACAGTAGCATACCTTTTAATTTAATTGCTTATTTGATTTGATTCGTTGTCATTATGGTATTAAATATCATTTACTTCCTCTAAATATCGGTACTCTGGTACTGCATGGGAGTAGTAGATTGAGGGTTGGACTTGTTTTAGTATCTTCTTTATATAAATTGTTGTTGAAACTGTGAATAATTCTTTCATGAATAAGTTAAAGTCTAGATTTTAGAAAAATTGATGTTGACCCTTGGATATTCAAGCGTTTTAATATAATGTTTTATCTCAGAATACTGCAGATGTTTGGAGCAGTGGCCATACAGTGTCACATCCTCCTGTACAGCAACAAATTCATTCTTGGTGCTTGACACCACAGAAATTACAGGTAGGTATTTTATAGATCTTCAGAAACTTTGACTTGGTAGTGTAATACAGCTTGTGCTGAGACTTACAGCTTCTCTATGGGTTACATAGATGGACCTATTCTCTACTTCTCATGAGTAAATTAGATAAAATTATTAAGAACCAACTGAATTCCAATTAAAATAGTAGAAACAGAATACTTTCACTTTATGAGTTCTATAACTTTTAAAGACTATGTAGTAATTTTTTCTTCTTAAGAAATTTTAAAAATATGCTCATGCAAAATGTTGCACTCTTATGTGCCAAGGATAATGTCAGGAAGTTTGAAAGAAGTTTAGAACTATTGCAAGAGCATCTTGTTTGAGTGAGATTTTTGAAGTGAGATAGCTTCTTTTATCAAACTGCCTAAATAATTTACACATTCTACAAAACAAAACTACTTAAACAAAATCCAGTACTGCTTTTTTTTTTGTGGTTAAGATCATTTGCCACCTCTATGTGAAATGTTAGATTTATTATTAAAGTCTTACTGTCATCATGTTCTGTTATCTCCTTAGTTTATTAGTGTTTACAGTGAACTTCAGCAGAAATTGCAAAGTTTGAGTGTCAGGCCTAAGTGTGCACCCTGAGCTCTTTTTCAAGGATACTGATTTGGATGCAAAGAAAGAAAGATAGGAGGGAATATAGTGCCAAGATCGATGGCACAGCTCCTAGCAGAGCAGCATTCCCCTTAAACCCCAGTAGAGCTCTTCAGCTCCTCTTCCTTAGCTGAAAAGTGTTAGCTTTATCGCACTGCGTGTATTTTTCCCCCTTCCCTTCCCCTCTCAGTGTGCGAGTTCAGGATGCGCTCTGTGCAGGCAGGGCACAGGCACTGGGATGTGCTCTGCTGGGCAGCCGGAACAGGGCTGCTCCCGAGCCTCGGCGCCCACGGCGAAGCCTAGGGAGCAGAGCACGGGTGCCTCTGCCCTCAGATGTACTAGTCTCTCCACTGCTTAGTCTTTCTGCTTCTCGGTGCCCTGTTCAGACGTGTTTCAGAGCAGGAGGGCACTGGTGGCAGCCTCTCTGCGTGGCCAGAGCACATGCAGTCCCATAGAGTTCTCGCGGTCATCTCGCCATCACTGACGTGTCCAAATTAGTTTTATTCATCGTAGTCCATCTCAAACAGAGAATGTCTGATAACAAGATAATATCCAATATCCAAGTAAGATACTATTCATCCATGAATTGATACTTTGTTTTTCCTCACCTTTTTATCATCAGCTGTCTTTACTCATTTTTCAGATAACGTTGAGTTTTTTAATTGATAACTTTCACATACATTTAATTTTATTTAATAATTTTTAGTAATTTTTTTAAATTTAAAGCAGTTTATTTAATACATAAACTAGAGTAAAACTGTTTTTTTTACTTGCTTTTGAGAAAGAAATTAAAACAATGTACAATAATTTAGAATTTAAGGTCAGTGCAAACAAAATCTGTATGTTGATTTTTGCGTAGCACAGAATTGGGCTTCCTCTCCATATGCACCTTTCCTTCTTGGATAATACTTTTGTTTTTCCATAATTTTAACATTTATGCAAGACCATTTAGAAATAGTCTGATTGTGAGAATAATTCTGTGTGCTGTGTAGTTTGAATGTAGAGATCAGAATGTCAGTAATAAATGCTTAAATTACCAGTTGAAAATGAAGTCAGTCTGCTGTCCTAAGAAGTTGTTCTCCATAATTAAGTTGCATAGTTTTGGGGTGTGGGTTTGTTCTTTTTTGTTTTTTTTTTTTAATATATTCCTGTGTAACAGTATCTTGAGTTTAATTTACTTGGTGCTTTGAAATACTAATGCAAGAATTAGACCATACAAAACTATCGATACTTACCTAATAATAAAGGGAGTTATATAGATTCATACTTTAATAATAAAGCGAATTATATACATTCATACTTTAAAATATTTTATCTTTGACATTACCGACTCCCTTAATTTTAGTCTGGTTGTACTATTACTTATATGCTCACATCATTTTGAAAATCTTCCTAGTGTCATTAAGTAATAATAAGCTTTGGTTGCAGCATAATGTATGGAAAGACATTTAGGTCTGCAGCAGCAATCTCGATCATGGTTTTGGCTTTACAAGCTTCACCTTTGCTGACCATTTTTTGTAATATATACAAGAAAGTGTTTTAAAACCACATACAATTATAATGATCCCAAACCATACTGCTGTTTTTTCAGCACTTGGAACAGCTGCGTGCAAACCGAAATAATCTAAATCCAGCACAGAAACTTATGCTGGAACAGCTGGAGAGTCAGTTTGTCTTGATGCAGCAACACCAGCAGGTGAGAATAAAAGTATTTTTCTGTTCTTACCAAGCTTTTGTCAGTGATGCAGTCTTGCTTCTTGAATTCTCTAGAATGTCAGTTGTACAGGCTTTGCATGTCCTTTGCTTGCATTGCCTTGCCATCTTTTTTGAACTGTTGCATAACATTTACTTGTGGTTTGCTGGTTGAAACTTAACGTTTTTAGCTCTGTTTATTATAGGACTACCGGATAATGTAAAATTTTTTTAAGTTGCACTTTCAAATTAAAATGAGCAGACACATCTAAAAGTAGTCATGCTTAAAAATTACTTACTTGTGGTAAGTCACCTTCCAGCATTTCCCTCCTGCTCTCACTGTTCACTTCTCCCTTTCTTAACATGCAGCTTTAGCAGTAAAACGCTAACGCTCGCCCCAAGAGCCTAGAAGAGAAGGGTGCCAGTAACTTTACTGTAAAATTCACTGGGCACCATTTGTGAGCATGACAGCCATCTACCTTTCCAAAGCAGTGGGCAAGGTCCTAAAATCTCTAAAAATCGAAATTAAGCAGTGCAATAAAGCTGAAAAGCTTTGGTAGTCTTTGTTTGTCAAGCCGTGTCACCGATGCTGTCCTTGTGCTTTGTCCGTCTCCCATCAGATGAGACAAACAGGAGTTGCACAGGTACGATCTACTGGAATTCCTAATGGGCCAACAGCTGACTCATCACTGCCTACAAACTCTGTCTCTGGCCAGCAGCCCCAGGTTGCTCTGGCCAGAGTGCCTAACGTCGCTCAGCGTGGAATCCGTCCCGCGTGCCCCGGGCAGCCTCTGGCTAATGGACCCTTCCCGGCAGGCGCCGTTCCCTGCAGCACAGCCAGAACGCTGGGTAGTACAGACACTATTTTGATAGGCAATAATCACATAACAGAAAGTGGAAGTAATGGAAACGTGCCTTACCTGCAGCGAAACGCACTCTCTCTACCTCATAACCGCACAAACCTGACCAGCAGCGCAGAGGAGCCGTGGAAAAACCAACTATCCAACTCCACTCAGGTACGGGGGTTTCGGCTTATGCTTTTTGCTTTAGTAACCAAGTCACCCTTGGAAGTCTCTCATTTGGAAAAGCACGCTCTCTGTTTGATGTAGTTTGTGCTGTAAGGAGTAAATAATAAAACCTATCGTAGGGCAGAACTGCCTGCTGTATTCTACTGTGACCATATACATATTAAGTGAACAACTTGCAGGATAAAGGGAGTGTTGGTAAATCAAGAGGGGAGTTGCATGCTGCTTAGCTGCCTAGCCGTTCAGCAAAGCTTCTTTAAAGAGAAGAAATGTTTCTACATCCTTTTTTTGTTCTTTCAGTGTGCAGTGTTGTGACATAGTGTGGCAAGAATGTGTGCATTTTGTAACAAGCTGAATGCTGTAGCCATTTATGAACTCACATTGCCATATAGTGTAATGGTTACACAAACCTCATTGTTGTATAGTCTTTAAAATGGATTAGCTAGCAAGCAGTCTCTCCCAGAGTTATTTGCAGAAAAATACTTATAGAAAACTTATAGAATACTTACAGAAAAAATACTAGAAACTCCTGTTGGTACAAAACACGATGGTTAAAGTACCTAAATAAGGGGGGGTTTTGGGTTGGAATTTGCAGGTGAACTCTATTTTACTTATTTTCAGTCTAGATACCTACCTTTCAAGACTTCCCTTGCGGACATAACAAGATGTTCCATGGAAAGATAGCCTAATTATTTCATTCTGTTTTGCCAGATAGCTTATACAGCTTGATACAGTATTGTTTTCTCTCTCAAAACAGCATAAGTTTCTTTATTATTATTTCAAGTTGCTTTAGTGTGATGCCAAAGAATTTAGAGAGTGGGCTGTGGTAAGAGGCAGTGTTAGATGCTTAACTTTTTACGTGCTGCAGCAGAACACATAGGAACATCTTGCTTAAAACACAGATATGCAAGATGACAACAGCATTACAACCTGATTTTAAAAAGTTAACTCTGTGTTAATCATACTATTTACATGGTT